GGCCTACACACGGAAAGGTTGGTGGTTTCAGTGCACACATTGGTGCCTTGCGAGAGCCGCTTGCCTAAGGTCACAACTCTGCAAAAGCTCAGGAGTGGTTCTACTCTGAAACACAGGTAGTCGCCACCATGGGTTGGAACAGACTTGGCAGCAACTGGTCTTTACCTTTCTATTGACAAAGGGAGTGTTCCCAGTGAAATCCAGGGAGCTTTTAGGGAGCTTAGCACCCCTGGGTAGTGCAAAGGATTATTTCATACTCGATGGCAAACTGAAAGGTGGGTGCTTCGAGTCCACCCCGAGGTGCCTCAGAGGGAAGACTTAGCAGGAGATCAGTTCTACCTTGATACACAGAGTTGCCAAGAGTTGAATGTCAGCATAATGGCCACTGGTTTGTGGAGTGTATATGTGTGGGGTTTTTTTTTTTGGGGGGGGGAGGGTTGATAGGTGTTTAGGGAATCCTCCAAATATAACTGAGGAGCTATGACATAGGTGCAAGCGAGAAGATACTTACACATACATAAAAGACGGCTCCACTCCTCCTATCTGGCAGCAGTCTTACCAGTCTCCCTGCTATTCTGCCTGATCTCTCTCAAATGCATGTGTGAGCATACCAGTCCTCTGTTTGAATTCCTTCAGAGGTCCCCATCACACCAGAAAGGCTCAGATTCTTCATAAATTGCTCCCTCAAACCATTCCACCTCTTCTTTCGGCCACTGCCCCAAATCCACCATGTCAAATGGGCCACACCATACACCATGTTGCTCCAAATGGTAGTACTTCAGCACAGATGGCTCCCTTTGCCTGAAAGCACCCGTTTCCCTGTCCAGTGGTCAACTCCTTTCCTGCTGTGAGGTGCCGCTGGTTGGTTCTGACCCAGAGCGACCCTGTGCACAACTGAACGCAACGCTGCCTGCTCCTGCACCGTCCTCGCCATTGTTCCTGTGCCCGAGCCCACGGGGCAGCCGCCGTGCCGTCAAGCTCACGGAGGGCCTTTCTCATTTTCCCTGCCCTCGCTGCACCCAGCATGAGGGCCTTCTCCAGGGACTGGTGTCTCCTGACGACATGTCCACGGTAGGCAAGAGGAAGAGTCGCTATCCTGGCCTCTAAGGAGCACTCTGGCTGCACTTCCTCCAAGACAGATGGGTTTGTCCTTTCAGCAGTCCAGGGTGCTTTCTTTCTTTCTGTTTTAAACAGTGCACTTCATCCCCATAGCACACAATTCAATAGTTCAATGATGTCAAAGAGTTGTAGAATCTCTACCACAATCAATTTTAGAACATTTTCTTCTTCCTTGTACTCATTGTTATTCATGTAATTATTTTTTAATTGTGGCAAAAATATACACAACAGAACGTTCCCCAATATTGTCACCTTTTGCATGCATAACCCAATGCCATTGATTATACTCTTCCTGTTGCACAATCATTATTGATATCTTATTCCAAACTATTCCACCACCATTATAACATAAAGTTAATGCCCCTTCAGCAACAACTCTTCCTTCTTCACCCATGGCAACCATAGGGTACGTTTGGTTTCTTTTTTCTTTGGTTTTCTTGATAGAATATTCACATACCCTACACTTCCATAGTAAATCACATCCACGGCACTTTCAAGATTCCTCTCCAGCACAATTCAGATGCCAACTTCTTAGTCCTTCCAATCCCACTGTTCTTGTACCTCTTCCACGAATTCTTTCCTAAACCTTGCAGATGAAACACCCACTTCTTCTTACTACTTCTGAAGTTTGCTCCCTTTCTGTTTGCCTCTTTAATACTCTATAGACTGTTTTATAATCATGAGCTTACAGGTAGGTCTTCCCTACTGGATCTCAAGATCTTTTTTTTGTTTGTTTCAAGATCTTCTAAGGGAAAGGTGTCTGTCAAATTTGTTGTAACTCAGTACTTGGTTTAGAATCCTGGGTAATTACTCTATGCCTATTGAACTTAACTGAGGTTGAACAGATAAAAAACCACTGCTGAAGACCATGCAAATATATATTCACAAACAGAAGGATGTATGGTCGTGGCTAATAAGGACCCTAATGCGTTAGGTGCTGGGCTGGGAACTGAATGGCTGGCCGTTCGAAACCACCAGTTGCTCCATGGGACAAAGATATGGTTACAGTCTCGGAAACCCAGAGGGGCAGTTCTGCCCCATCCTATAGGGTCACCTGAGTCAGAACCAACTCGGGCAGTGAGTTTCCTGTGCTTGTTTTGCTTTTCAGCCAAGGCTAAGGGGACTGAAATAATACACAGCAATAGTAGCAGCCATTTGTTGAGCACACACTCTGTGTCAGGAAACGTACAAAGTGCTTCACGATAATTACCTCCTTTTACGCTGGTGGTACAGTGGTTACGCGCTGAGCTGCGATCCGCATGGTTGGAGGTTCCAAACAACCAGTAGCTCCTCAGGAGCAGACTTGGCTCTCTACTCCTGTAACAGTTAGTCTCAGAAACCCTTGGGGGCTTGCTATGCGTCAGCATCCACTTGATGGAAGTGAGTTTGGGTCTTGTTTGCTAACAACCACCCTGTGAAGTGGCCACTGGTGCACACCTTCCACAGGGGAGAAAATGGAGGTACAGACAAGTGAAAAAGCTTGTCCATGTGCAATGCAGGCAGAAAGTGGCAGAGTCCTGACGCAAATCCAGTTCTGATAGTAACAGGCTGATGACTGCGATAGATAGTTCTGTTCCCATGATCTATTCAGCAAAGAGTAACAGTTGCCAAGTTGTATAAATTTGCCAGCTGGAAGTTCAAAACTCTTTATGGTGATTCCCTACTACTTTAGAAAGGATAGATCAGGATGAACTTTTTTATGAAAGTACCCTTTAAAGCAGGAGACGTGTCCAGGCGGACAAAGGAATGGCTCTGTGAAACGATCAAGGCCGGCAGAACTATGTGAAGTCTGGTGGACGAAGATACGTTGAGGGGCAGCTGGTCAAAGGCTTGGGACCGACATCAATTCTGCTTTGAGCACCAAGTGTACCACGATGAAGAATGACCCTCAGAGTAACCACTGTATTTGGCTGAGTAAAAAAACAAATGTGTTTCTAGCATCTCCCCACCCTTTCCCCATTCTTGACAACCCTAGCTGGCCTGCTCGCATGCACCTTAAGTACACATTTTCTGTTTTTTTCCCCCTCCTTTAGGAATATATTTCTGTCCTCCTGGTGTTAGTTGTTCCACCTTTTGGCTGAAGTGTGCCATTGTGAAGGACCAGCACCAGGTCCAGATGAGGCTGCACATGTGTGTCTACTGCAGTGGGCAGAAAATCCAGTGCACGAACTTAATTAGTGCCCAACATCTCTAATGCTGGGGCTTGTACCATAAATGGTTAAGGTGGGAGGAGGTCTCATTCTGCAACACGAACTTCCACCTCTAAGTGTTTCATTCAGAGACGTAAAATTACGCTTGGACTGACTAGCAAGCATTATCTGTGGGCAGTGCAATCTAGGCACTATTAGAGAGGCCGATACAGAAGTACCAAGGTTTGTTCTTAAGACAAGAGGTCTTTGCCAGACATCCAAAAAGGGACCTCAGAAACATGCCATTAAGAGTAAACTAATAGAGCCATAGTGTGAAACGGAATGCTTCAGTGCCTGAGGGCTACAAGGAGGAAGCAATGTGAGCTATTTCAAATAGTCTTATGTGCAGTTCAACCTAAGTAGGTGACTCAAAAGTATTTATACTAAACACGAAAATTCTAGATACCAAAAGCTGCCAGAGTCAACACCAACCCACAGTATTCCCAGAGAGGAAGGAGCTAAGGCCAGAGGAGCTGGAACCTTAACTCTTTAGAGCCCTACGCTTAGCACATCAAACCAACGTTCAGGCCCGTTGCTTTGTTCTTTAGCTCTGCAGGTAGGTGGGCATCTCGAGCACTCTGGACCTCTGGTTGAAATTGGGGGCCAGGGTTCTAACTTATTAAGTGAACGCGCTGGATCCCACCCAGCTGCTCTCAGCCAATTCTTGATTCTTTCAAAGCTTATCCTCCAGAGATTACATCTAGGCTGCCTGCTCTCCACTTTTCCAGTTTATTCCAGTCATAGATCCATGACTAAACTTCTTCCTAGGCCCTCTCCTTTTCTTATTGCTCTTCCTTAAATGCCCCTGCCTCTCCCCCGTCCATCTTTCCTCTCCCACCCTCCCCCAACTCCCGCCTCAGGCAGCTGAATTTCCTGAGGTCGCTTGAGCGAAATGAGGTTCAATGCTTCCTGGACTCTGATAAGAGGCCCCACATTTGCGTCACATTTTTTCACCCCTGGCCACCCAGTGTTCTCCGCGCGTTACATAAGGAGGAGGTGGGCGCTCACCGCAGAGCTAAATTGGGAACTCTGGAGCTACAGTTTCTGGAGAAGGCTTCAGCCTCCTCCCACGACGTGAACCACTTACTTTGCTGTTCGCCACGGGCAAGGACAATGTCTCCTCTACCCGACAAAACGTCTCCCGATGACGGAGGCGACCCCTTCGTTCTTTTACAATCCCCCTCATCCCCTTTGACACACGGGGATGGTTCTTAAAACACACAGTTTCCTGTGCAAAATATCCCTTCCCAACTTTCGGTTTATAAGATAAAACGGAAAACGTCCTTTGGCCAATTAAGCAACGGAGGGGTTAAATTTCAGCAACCTGATGAATTCTGGGGGCTTCCTCTTTCGTCCCCACGACATTAAACGGCTGGGAAGGTAAACTGCCCGAGGTAAAGATGAAAACCGTTAACTTTGACTGTTAGGCTTCTGCCCCAACAAGAACGGCTATCCACGCCCATAAAGGGCGCCATTAGCCTAACTAAAAAAACCTGCCGGCGCTCGTTCCTACCGGCGAGGTCACATCTGCCCAGGTCCAAAATGGCGCCCAGCAGCTTCACCAAGGGCGCGAACGCCACGCCCATCTCCCATCATCCTCTGGGGCCGACAACGTCAGGTGACCTGACCCTAGCAGGAAGTGAAGGAAAAAGCGCCTCAGCCCGCGGCGCCTGCGCAGAGGGCTCTAAACGCTGGGAGGCAGGAGGCACTTGGGATCGTCGCAGATTTGGGACTGCCACAGAGGCCGCCACGGAGCCCGCAGGAGCCACCGTGCCTATTGCTGCTGCCGCTGCCCGGATCGGGATCATCGGGCCGCAGCCGCCGGCAATGCCACGCAGGAAGGTGAGAGGAACGGGAGAGGAAGGATGGTGGGTTTCTAAGGCCGGTTGATAGAGCAACGTGACCTCGCTGGCCACGCCTGGCAGGGATGGGCCTCCAACTTCCTGCTCCCCCGAACTTGGCTCCGATGCCCTCTCGCTTGTGCACCCCTAACAGAAAAATGTGGGCCCGACCCTGGCCTCGGCCTAAGCTTGCAGCTATTCCCGCCCACTGCTAGGCTGTATCGGAGGCGTTCTTACCGTTAATTGGTTGCTGAAACGTCAAGGAGTCTATCGATTGGCTGGTGACACAGCCTGTTTGGGCTCAACGGTCACCTCCCCGCGTGCGGGGGCGGGGCCGGGGCCGGGGCCGGGTCCTCGTCCTCCCGCGCCGCAGCTGGCAGTAGGGAAAGAGCCCTCCTCTCTCCATTGGCTGGGCTCGGCCATCTGTCCCGAGGGGCGCGGTGGAGCCGGACTCCCATTGGGTGGCCTGAGTCTCCTCCCTTCCGGGTGGTGATGCTGATAGGTGTAGAGGCGGGGTTTGGGAGGCCTCCGTTTCTCTGGCCCCCCTCCCCCCCAGGTGGACACAACAAAGCTGAGGATTGAGACAGCAGGAACCGGGGCTGCATCCTTAGCATCCCGCGCAGACTGGTTGCGACTAAGCTGTACCTTTTCCTTATTTGCTTTGCTTGGTAGCGCCGTAGCGCCCACAGAATGCACTTTGGAAAATAAAGAAACTTTCTAGCGTTAAAAGGGACTTAAAGTAGCATCTGGAAACAGCCCTCCACTTGTACGTCCGAGCAAACGGAAGCCTAGTGGTGTCCCCAAACTGCCTTTGCAACGGCAGAATCAGAAATTCACAACTAGCCCAATTCATCAAATGCTTACTGACTCCTGCTTGCTAGGGATTCAGAAAGAAATCAGACATGACCCGTGGCTTAAAAAAAATCACTGTACGGTAGTGGTTTGAACAGACATGGAAGTAACTGTTAAAGGGCCTTTCTTTACTTAGCGCGTTATAGTAAGTGCCGTGGGAAATGGTAGATGGGAGAGAGAGAAGGGGGTCAAGCCAGGAAGGAGTGGTCAGAGATGACCAGGGACTCAAATTCCTTGATGATTCAGACTCCACCTTCAACCCCTTGGATTTCTGCGACTTTCCCCTGGTCGCAGTTCCTTTCCGGATGGATTACCCTTGAACTCTGAAAAGCTGGGTAGTACTCTTGTTGGTTCTGCGGGAATTTTGCGCGTCTTCCCGTGCACTCCCATTGAGTTGATTCTGACGCCCAGCACCCCTCAGCACAGTGTAGAACTGCCCCACGGAGTTCCGGAGGCTGCGACCCTGGTGGCTGCAGACTGCCACCCCCTTCTCAGTGGCTGGTGGTTTCGGAGCTACCACCCTTTGCTTAGCAGCCCAGCACTTCGTGCACCGGGCCACTGGGGTCCCTCTTGTTTCCTTAGCGCAGGGGTTCTCAGCCTTCCTAATGAACGCCTCGACCCTTTCATACAGTTCCTCATGTGGTGACCCTAACCATAAAGTATTTTCGTGGCTGCTCCATAACTGTAATTTTGCTACTGTTATGAATCGTCATGTAAAGTATCTGATATGCAGGATGTATTTTCATTGTTACAAATTGAACATAATTAAGACATGGTGATTAGTCACAAAAACTATGTAATTATATATTGTGAAATATTTATTTTTAATTGCAAGTAAATAAAATTTTGTCTGGAAGCACGGTGTAGCATGGGTAACAAACGGTCTTCACACCGGGTACTCGTAGGTGGGCGTATCTGCATGTGGGTGGACCTGGCTGCAGACATCTCGGTTCCTAAGACCATCAGCAATAGGTGTTTTCCGATAGTCTTAGGCGACCCCCAGGTTGAGAACTGTCCTAGAGGCTTTCAAATAGATATTTCTACTTTTATAATGTCTTCTAAAATGACTCAAGGTGGCACTTGGTATTAGTGCTCCAAACCAAACTCACTGCCATCGAGCCCTTTCCAGTGGCATAGTGGTTAAGGGTTGGACTAGCTGCAAGGTCAGCAGTTTGAAACCACTAGCTATTCAGGGGGAGAACCATGAGGCTTTCTACTTCTGTAAAGAGTTACAGTCTTGGAAACCCACAGTGGCAGTTCTACCCAGTCCCATAGAGTTGCCATGAGGTATTCATGTTAAGGTGCACCACATGCAGGAAGACAGGGGTATTACCAAGTACCAAATACAAAGAAACAAGTTTGTGTTATTTGGTGACAAGATCTATCCTTAACTGGAGACTGTAGTTTATACATCTGATTAGTGCCATCGTGTATATATTTTGCTGTGGAAATTTTAAGGTCTTGCTTGAGGGGAGTATTTTTAGGATCGGTGTGAAAAGGTTTTCCTCTTCAAAAACCTGCAAAACAAAGACTTGCTAACAATTTTTTAAAAATTGTGAATTCCAAATACAAATGACCTCATTTTCCAAGTTATGCTTGTAGCTCGGGAGCCCTGATGGGGCTAGACTGCTCAGATCTAAGATCAGCTGCTCCTCTGGAGGAAGTGGAGGCCGATAGAGGCCATCTACTCCAGCAAAGATTCACAGCCTCAGGAATCTCACGCAGGGTCCCCATGAGTTAGAATAGACTCAGTGGCCTCAGGTGGGGTTAAAATCCTTGAGGCTAATCATAGACCCCTAATCATGGATTGGAAAGATGCTCACTTGAGGCACTGTTTGAACACCTTCATTTGCAAACTGCCCTTTTCAGCACTTTCTATTAATCAAGGGGAGAAACCTTCAGGATAGATGACATGAAATTTGGACCTTTTTTCTTTCTGCGTAAGTTCTCTCCAATTCAGAGCTGTCTGCTGACCATTGCTATTTTGAAATAGTATTTGGGTTTTCGTTGTGAAGGGGATAGCCGTTAATGAAGACATGGAACAAAAGCTTCCCCAAGGTGCAGGGAGCTTCCCCCTCCCTACATTGTTCCCCATGCCATGGCCTTCCACAGGCGCACGCTGATGCCAGCCAGACCATTCACTGTTGGGTGTTTTTATTTCTGGTGCATGACTTGTTTCAGAAGTTGTGATAGTAGAGCATTGCTCGTCTTCCTCCACTGACTCTCCTTGTACTGGCACCCGCTGCGTGCCTGGTAGCTTGTCCCACATACCATGTCCTCAGTCAAGGGAAACTGGCTCTGGGCTGGGAGGTGGGCTGGGTGTGGAAGCCTTGCTTAGGTTCACCCCAGGTGTTTTCAGCCTCACGGTGCTTTTTATTTCCAGTATTGATACAAACCCAGAGTCAATGCTTCTGTGCTAATGTCCGGATCTGTGGTGTTACAGAGGAATGCAGGCAGTAGTTCAGATGGAACCGAAGATTCCGATTTCTCTACAGATCTCGAGCACACAGACAGTTCAGAGAGCGATGGCACTTCCCGCCGGTCGGCTAGAGTCACCCGCTCCTCCGCCAGGCTCAGCCAGAGCTCGCAAGGTAAGAGGTGCCCTCTTCCCGACCAAGTGCGGCTTGTGTTCTGTTAACGTGGAAGCTGACCTCTTGGCTGGGTGCAGATGACAGAATCTGGTGATAGGCAGGGTGAGGCACCTCAGAAGTTTCAGGGTGCGTGCAAAGGATGGGGCAGTGTGTTCTTTCTTAGAAAGTGCCATTGGCCTCGTCCCAGACATGAGCAATAGCTAGAAAGTGTGTGGACACTGGGTGCCTGGTGGTGCCATGGGTGCAGCGTTCGGTTGCATCAGTGCTGCGGATGCACCAGCAGCTGCATGGGAGGGAGATGGGGCAGTCTGCTGCCGTGGAAACACTCGGGGCTGGTCTATGTCTTATCGGGTGGTCACCACAAGTCAGAATGGATTAATGGCAGCTGATGTGTGCGTGTGTGTTCGTTGTGTGTCTAATGACTAATTACAGAGGAAGTTCCACTTAGCAATGTAGCCTGTGCAAGATGAGTCTCTTGAAAGTGAAACTTAGACTGCTTTGTGGGTGGACACCCCGCTCCATGCCGTGTGGCTGCCCTAGAAGCGGGCAGACTGATAACTTTGCGGTGTGCTAACTTGTTTCTCCGTAAAGCTGAGTTTGAGCTTTTGTTATTAGAACATCTACAAGATAACCATAGACCCTGATCGAATTTGTTCTTGTGTACAAAATTTGCTTTCATTTCAGCTTTGAATTTCCTTTTTCTCCCCCACCCTTTTAAAGCCATCTCGACTGCTGTGTGTGTCAGAATAGACTTTGCTCTTCAAAAGAATGTGAATAGCTATATTTTTGCCTAATCCGTACATGTCTATGACTATTATTTTGCCTAAACCTGCCAGAGAGGGTAATCAAGAAGAAAATAAGTCCCAAAGTAAGGACATGTGTGTGTATCGGTATGCCAGTCATAACTGAGCCACTGTTTTCTGGCGGGTTAAGGGACGGGAGAAAGGATGCGCTGAGAGGGAGAGCCCACGCTCTGTCTTGGGGCTTGGACACCTTGCTGTAGAACAGTATCTTGCTTACTCTTCATAACGACTTTATGCCGTACTGTGGTTTTCCGAGTCTGCAGATCAGGAAACTGATGAACTTGACCAAGAGGCTGCAGATAGCGTGGATGGTGATCAGTCTTGATTCCCGGTTGTAAACCCTGACACCACACTGTATAGCATCTCCAGACCTGGGCTAGGCACTCTTGCCTGTGTTTTAGCTAATAAAACAGGTCTTTTAAGAGTTTGTTGGATTTTGCGAAAGATGAGGGGTACCACCTATATTCTCACATATTTCACACACATGTGTAGAAGAACAGATTTCCTCCTTTTTAACTATGTCATTGTTATCTTTTAAAATTGGAATCAGATTCCAGCCCTGTTCGAAATTTGCAGTCATTTGGCACGGAGGAACCCACTTACCCTACCAGGAGAGTGACCCGCAGTCAGCAGCAGCCCACCCCAGTGACCCCGAAAAAGTACCCCCTGCGGCAGACTCGCTCATCTGGCTCAGAAACCGAGCAAGTGGTTGATTTTTCCGATCGAGGTGAGTGGGTACGGCACAGTGCAGGCACGCTACAGAGGATGTGGTTGATAGCCTGGAAGGAGACCCTGGGGTGAAGGTGTGACACTGAGGCCGGCCGGGCAGGGTGTGAATTCTGCCAGGGATTGCTGTCTGCCTGATGCCTTCTCATACGTGCTAAGATAGTTTGGCACTAGAGTAGTCCTATGTTGTTGCTGGCCTCCCTTTTATTATACTGGAGTATTGTTGAGGATTTGAAATAGGAAGGAGGGACTGGGGCCCTCACAGGCACGGGTGAAAAAGCCTTGAATCGGGGTTTCTGTGGCCGTGCTTATTAGTGCATTGCTGTCAGCATTTCTGAGCCACAGTGACCGAAAGTAGTGGGCGTTGTAAGCTTTTGCTGTCCTAATTCACCGGCCCAGATTGAAGACCTGTTGAGCTCTGCTTCTAACTGCTTTGATCCTGCACTTGAGAGTAGACAAGCAGGTGAAAGTTCCTGATCAAACCATAGAAACAGGATCTGGGAAGCCCAGGAACTTTGTTGCAAAATAAACTCTTTTAAGTACGTGAACACCCTTCACCAGATTGACGAACTGCTTTTGCTTTAGAAACGAAAACCACGGCTGATCACGATGAGTCTCCCCCTCGAACTCCAACTGGAAACGCACCTTCCTCCGAGTCTGACATCGACATCTCCAGCCCCAACGCGTCCCACGATGAGAGCATGTCCAAGGACATGTCGATGAAGGACTCCAGCAGTGACCTCTCTCACCGCCCCAAGCGCCGGCGCTTTCACGAAAGCTACAACTTCAACATGAAGTGCCCCACTCCAGGCTGCAACTCTCTAGGTGCGTTGGGCTCTGGGGCTCGTCGAACTGGGCTGACCCAGAAACGCGTTGTGTTTCTTATTAAGAGCCGGTGGAACGACTGTGCCACTGAATTTCACCTGTAGACCCGGTGGGATTGGTGTCTAGATTCTATGTGTATTCTCAAAACGCACCTGGTTTTAAAAGGCTGTGAGACCTTGGCCTTTTCTAACTTAAGTTACGTCTCAGGTACTCCTAGTTGTGTGAACAAGAGAAAAGTATTTCTTCTCAGACAAGGGAGAGTAAAGTGTCTGGGAATCCTTGAACTACCCGTACTGCTGAGGGGAGCTGCTTTTCACATCCAGCCTTTGGAAGGGCCTTCGAGTCCAGCAGCAGATGAAACAAGAGTCAGTTGCTGCAGGCTTGTTCTCTTTATTTGCAGCCTTAGCAGTGGTTGCTCAGATTTCAGCCTATCAACGGGTGTTCATAGAGGAAAAGCGCCCGGATCCGCAGCAGTCATCACTGAAAGGAAGAGAATTGTTTTAGGTCTAAATTAATTGGCTTGGGGCAAAGTCATGAAAACTAAGAACAGAAGATCCCATACGATCCGTCCAGGAGCTGGCTAACACCCTTACGATGGTCAGAAGCTGTACTTAACATCCAGCGTGGTCGCTTTTAGTTTGCATACTGTTGAGTCCACGGTCACTGTGTGTCCAGCTCTGTCGTACATTTTGAGATGCAGTTACGAACATGTCAAATGCCCTGCTCTCAATTCCAGCCGGGGAAGGAGAAACCGGTAAATCCATGTGCCCATCAGCTGGAGATAAATGCCATGCAGGGAAATGAAGTGCGGACTGTTGAGAGGGGAGGGTGTTGCCTGTATGTTCAGAGAAGTACCCTCTTCTGTGACCTGTGAGCAGGGACCTGAAAAGTGCAAATGAATCATTTGGGTATCTACGGGGGGAGGGGGGGCGCATTGTGGTAGAAGGCCAGGTATCTGTGTGTGTGGGGGGCATTGTGGGGTAGAAGGCCAGGTATCTATGGGGGGGGGGACACATTGTGGGGTCAGGGCTAAGGGCCTGGGGCAGGAAAATGATGAACATGTTTGGGAAACAGGAAAGGAAAGTTGGGGAAAACTGCTGTTGATGTGTTGTTAGCCCAGACCGGGAAAGGGAAATGTGTTACACCAGAGGAAAATTTACTCCGACCTACCAATGGGTTGTCAGTTTGGGAAGTATGAACTTCCCAATTTGTTCTTGATCCTGTCTCCTTGCCCTTGGCAAAACAGTGTCATTCATTTGAATGGGGGGCGGGGGGATATAAAAGTACTAAGTGTTTATGAAAAAAATGGACTCAGAATCACTTACTCAGAAGTTGGAATACTCAGTATCTTAGTAAGCTTGCTAAGCACTGACATTTTCCATGGAATGAGGGTGACCCTATTGAATTGTATGGATTGTTAACATCACATTGTTAACGTTACAGCCGTAAAACAAATGGCAGCCTGCATGCCCGGTTTCCCTCCAATCCAAAGCGAACGGAATACACGTTAAAATCCCAGTATCTCCTTTACCCCAAAGTGCATGAATGTCTTCTTTCCATGTAACCAAAGGTGAACCATTTGCGATTCAGCTTAGCCATTAAAAAAAGCAATCGTCAGCGTGGTCTCCCTAGCCCTCTCAAATCTTAACTGTCTTAGAAACTTCTTGGTTGAATAGATTTATGAAAAGCTAGTAATGCTCATTTTCTTGGTGCTTTCAGAAAACCCCCTGAACAGGGAGAACGGCAGAGCTGCTCCTTAGAGACCCTGAGCTGCTGCACTGTTCCAGTGAGTCGCTGCCCAGGGCCGAGGGGTCAAGCGCTCAACGGCTAGTTGAGAGGCTGGCACACGTAGCCTTCCCTAGAAGGGGGATGTGCCCGGGTGTAGCCTTGGTCACCTCAGGTGGCACAGCTCGCCTCATCAGCAGAAGCGGCTCAAGGCAGTGGGCCACAGCAGCGTTGTCGTTCCTCGTGTTTTCCCATCTTAAGAAAAGCCTAAACTCCCAGAATCATGGAAGCCTCAGCTTTTAAAGAGCAGGAGTTCTCCTTCTTAAAAGAGTATATTTCATCTAGTTCAAGATTACCAAAGTGTCTACCTTTATGGAACCTGTTTCCTACTTCCGGACGTTTTCTTTTGGTCATTGAAAGCCGTTAAATTCCAATTGGCCGGCATGGCCCAGTAGAAAGAAAAGTGCACCTGTGTGTGTGTGTGTGTGTGTGTGTGTGTGTGTGTATGATTTGATTAATAACTTAGCACAGTGTAGTTCCAACAACAGAAAGTGTGTGTGTGTGTGTTTGTGTATGATTTGATTAATAACTTAGCACAGTGTAGTTCCAACAACAGAAAATGTTCCTGCTGGTAATCTGTCCCTTTGTTACAAGGTACGGCGTTCTAGCATTTCGAGACGGGAGAAATCTGTCCGTACAGAAGGGACATCATTTTTCTCGAACTGCACGCCACCTTCATGACCCAGCGTGTGGAAGCAAAGCCTCCGTCACGCGTGCCGCCCACCGCCCTGACAAGCGTTTGGCTGGGGGATTCCGTCTGTGGCCAGAGACAGTCGATAAAGACGAGGGCGCACACACAGAGGCCCCTCCAGACGGTTTCCCTTCTGCTGAGATGTTGCTTTCTCCTCCTCTCCCGTGACAGGACACCTGACAGGAAAGCATGAGCGACATTTCTCCATCTCAGGATGCCCGCTTTACCATAACCTCTCAGCGGACGAGTGCAAGGTAACGGTCGCCCGTCTCTACTCCGCTCGCCCTCCCTCAGCCCTGCGCTAGCGCTGCAGAGACCCTGGCAAACAGCCGAGGCAAACGCAGGTTTAGAGTTCCTTTCGAGAGGCTTTAGCAAGGAGATTATCTGCAGCGATGCTGACCGTCAGCCTCTCGGGCCTGATTGTTTCCACTGAATATCGTCTCCCGCGCGGTGGTGGGGGGCTTCTTCCGCTCAGGAATCATTGGCATCAAGAGGCGGGGTCCAGTATTGATGCCCCGAGTTCTGGGCTTTGAAATCCGCGAAGCCATTCTGCTGCGTTCACATTTCCCTTCGTCGTCGTCCTCCTCCTCCGTCTCTGCCCGCTTCTCCTCCGGCTTTGCCCACTTCTGCTGCGTCATGTTCCCTCTCTCTCTCTGTCACTAATTCCTTGAAATTCCCAAACACTGTTGCTCCTATGTTGCCTTTGGCCTTGGGCGATAATGATTGATACATTATTTATTTTGAGGGGGACAGATCCTTGAGGAGTGGCACCTAAGACCTTCTCTGCCCCTGTCTTGTCGCTGCCTCGCTCCAGGGTGGAGCCAAAGCACACACAGGGAGAAGCAGGTGTGGGAAGTGAATGCATTAGATTGTTCCGGTAGTGTCTGGGCAAGTTACCCAAAATGGTCAGATCAATGTTATTTGTTATTTTTGTCACTGGTTCTTAGCCTTGGGGTCATAGGCAAAAGGGTTTTATCTGAGTGAGTTCCGTTCTGAGGAAAATGAGATTCTTGAGCTAGCGTCAAGGACCGGTTGTGGCCAGTGGTCAGCACGTGGCTCCTCAGCTGAAGACTTCTCATACCCGCCAATGGCCCCCGGGGAGAAAAGACCTGGTGCTCCGGCCGCTGCTGCCGGATGACAGTCTGGAACTGGGAGCGTGATGCCCCAGAGTGCTCCTGGCCAAGCGGCACCCCACAGAGATGACTCACATTCGGTTCCCGTTATCTTGTTTGTAAGTAGACCGCCGTGGGGGAAGCGGCTTCAGTGTGTTTTTTAGTCTTCCAACAAGGTGCTGTCCACTCTCAACGCTTCATGTGGATTTTACGGTCGAGAACCCTTCATGTCACGCTTCTTCAGTCCCAGTCTTTTGACGACACAAGGCACCGTCTTCTACTTTGTGTAAGATTCAGTGTCTGTCTTCCTGTCACCTGTCCATTTGGAGACCAGCTCACAACAGGGACAGCTGCCCCCTGTGTGCCACCTCCTGAGCCGCTCGCTACCATTTCCTCCAAATCGCTCTGGTCCCGGTTTGTGAGTTGTCCTTTGCGCCTACCTTCAGTGACAAAGAGCTGATACTGTAGCTGGTTTCTCATAAACAGTCTTCTTTATAACTTTCAGAATTTTTTATAGCATTGTCAACGTGTTACCTTGAGTATTTGTGTAAAAAATGAAGGAAAATGTTCCATTTTGATAGAAAGTTCTAAAAGAAAGAAAGAGAGGCAGCATTTGTATCTTTAATCTGCCATTGCCCCTCCCCCCTTATTTTTTACTAGGGTCAATGTAGTCCACCTTTAATGGACTTGGAGGACCAGGAGAATTTATGAAAGGTGATTTGTCTTTATTAAACTAAGAATCCCAAGTAAAACGATTTTATACATTACTCATGTTTATAAAGTCTTGTAGAACTTTGAAAGTACCTACAAAGACATGATTTCCCTCGAGTTTTCCAGTGAAAGGTTTGAGCTGGGAGGTAGACCGGTCTTATTCTGGCTTGTCCTTCTGTGGCTGCATGTGTCAGACGCTGGGAAAAGCTACCCCGGCTTCAGTGAATGAGGTGAAAAGATGGCCTGTGTGGGCCTGGCATTCCTATGGGGGGCCAGAAAACTTACTGTCTATATATAATCAGTAAGTCAGAATGTCACCTAATGGTGAATGCTGTGAGGAGCAACAAGAGGAGGCGTCCGGAGAGTGCCTGGAGGGGTGGAGTTGTTTCTGCAAGGAGACCTGCCTGGGGAGATGGCATTGGATCTGGGACAAAAGGCAAGGGAAGATCTAGGACAGTGGTTCTCAACCTTCCTCATGCCTCGACCCTTTCTTACAGTTCCTCGTGTGGTGGTGACCCCCAACCATAACATTGTTTTTGTTGCTACTTCATAAGTGTAATTTTGCTACTGTTATGAATCGGGGGACCCCTGTGAAAGGTTCGTTTGAGCCCCAAAGGGGTCACGACCCACAGGTTGAGAACCACTGCTCTAGGGGATGAGCGAGTTAAAAGTATAAGGTGCACAGGCTCTGCGGGACCGTGAAGGACCTTGCAGATTTTGCGTTTGTCTTTTCGGCGGCAGTGGACAGCATTTGGAGGACTGACTTCATCAGGGGTGCAATATACTTTCTTAAAACAGTTTTTTAAAAAATCATTGCTTGCTAGTGTGTGGGAAAGGGCTAGAAGGAGCCAGATTAACTACGCAGAAGGCTGTGCAGAAGTCCTGGCATAGGTGCTGGCCTGGGTGCAGGCTGTATCAGTGGCGATGAAAGAATTGGCTGGATCGAGGGTGAATTTTGCAGAAGGAGCAGTCTACTAGACTCACTGATGGATTTGATGTGACCTCTGAGGAGGGAGGAGAGGGGAATCAGGAATGACATTCAAGTGTGTCGGGCCTGATTGATTGTACAGACAGTGGACCTATTTGTGGATAGGAGGAAGGTTTGTGGGGGAATGTAAGTTCTGTTTTGATGCCACAGTTTCAGTGGAGAAATTGGATATAGGAACCTTTACTTCCCAGGTGATGGAATTGAAGGTTTTCAGAGCGAATGTGATTTGTCTACGAGCTACAGAAGTAGGGCTTGTGTAGATGTGAGCCCAGGTTTCCTAGCCTTCTCTTTGCATTTCCTCACTCTGTCCCTGCACTTCCTCACTGCTTAATCCTGTGTATGGTGGAAAGAGTCCAGGCTCAGAGTTAAATCTTGGCTTTAGCACCGTTTGGCTGTAATCATTTCACGTCTCTGATTCTCAGCTAGTGGTTGAGAAAGAAGAGAATGTACAACTTGCCATCTTTTCCATGTAGAGATTGTAATAATAAATATGCCGGCCCTGTGAAATAAGAAGTACAATGTAAACCCAAGGGAGTATTGTGTTCTGATGCTTTAAATACATGTAGTCTTAGTAGCAGGCGGATTTATTGACGTTGTTGATGGTTGCAGGTGAGAGCCCAGAGCCGGGATAAGCAGATAGAAGAAAGGATGCTGTCCCACAGGCAAGATGACAACAACAGGCATGCAACCAGGCACCAGGTACGGGCCTTGCTGAAGCTCTTGCCATTCAGTTAGAGATCCAAGTGTCGGCTCTCCCTTGCCCCCCAACTCTCTAGGCCTATCCATGCCGATTGTTTTCCTGCGCTCTGTCAGAGTAACTGATCTTGAAACCAGAGACTTCGAATTGTGTTTGCTTTTCAAGTAAAACATGTTTACCAAATAAAAACCTGTCTGCTTTATAAATGAAAGCCTCCTGCTTCCTAATAATAACGATACGCATAACCCTGACAAGTGAAAGCTGCTTATACTTGCCGCTCCATTTCCTCTCGTGGCCTGATGTCGTTGGCCCTCAGAGCCCCCCTCTTGGCTTGTTTCCAGACTTACCAGTGACTCATTAGCGTCTGTGACCTGTTGTCTGTGCGTCTCTCTTCTGCCTCGATGTTCCCTCGGTTTCTAGGATGCTGCTTCGTCCTCGGCCTCCCCAGGCCTCCCTGAGCAGCGCCGAGGCTTTGCACCTGATTCCTGGTTTCTCTCTCCATGCCTCCATCTGTACTCTTGTGTTTCTGTCGAGAATGCTCTTGGCTGTCCAAAAAGAGAGGCATTGTATATCAGAGCATTGGGCAGCTCTCAGGGATTTTAGGATTCTTCCCAAATCTCTTCCCATCGTTAATAATTTCTCCGTTCTGAATCCTCATTGTAACTTGCTAGAACGTTTGGCCCTCGTCACGTCATACTGCACACAGCTGGTTCGGTGGAAGCCTGTTGTGGGTGGTGGTGGTGGGTGAGGAGGGCACCGTGCAGCAGAGGAAGCATGGCTGTAAAAGAGTGTAAAAGGGCTTTAGAACCAAACATCTGGATTTCAGACGATCAGTCTTTTCTTCTCTGGCTTTGTGGTTTGGGGCAGGTCTGCTAATGTCTCTCATTGTATTTCCTTTTTAATAAGATGGGGTCGATTAGACTTATCTGGACAGGTGTAGTTAAGGGAGTAAGCTAAATTGACTGACGGTAAAGTTATCTACCCCCAGTGCATGGCACAAATAAGCACTCCCTAAGTAGTAGCTAATTTTCGTCATTGTATTGGGTTCTAATTCATTTTGTATCACTGCTGATCACATCAGTACTTGGACAGCCATCAGTAAGTGATTGTTGAATTTAAATGATCTTTAATACTTGTTGCTCTGATGGAAATTTCCATCCTTAATTTCTATTCTGTTTGGGATAAAACACTAAGTTTGCGTATCAACCCATATTGACTGGCAGGAAGGACAGTGGCCTGGCTGAGGACAGTACCCATGTGGGAATTTTCAGCTTGGCTTGGTGTTCACCGTGGGGCTCTGGGATATCCAGTGTTCACTGGAGTTTGCACTTCTGTTTTATTCCACCACCACCACCACCCCCTTTTTTTTTAGCGTGGGTACATGCGCACACACGCTTCATTGTGAAGCTTAACCTTATATTCAGTTTTCTAGCCTTTTCTTTTTAGGCCCCAACCGAGAGGCAGCTGCGATACAAGGAGAAGGTGGCCGAACTCAGGAAGAAAAGGAATTCTGGTCTGAGCAAAGAGCAGAAGGAGAAATGTCTGGTGAGTCCACAGTTGTTGTGGTCAGGTGCCGTCAGGGGGGCTCTGTGTACAACAGAAGGACACTCCTACCGGCACCCCGGTCCGGCGCCATCCTCACAGTTGTCCTTGTATTTGACCCGATTGTTGGAATCCCCGTGTCTGTCCATCTCCTTGAGGGTCTTCTTTTTCACTGTCCTTCTGCTTGACCAAGCATGTTGTCCTTCTCCAGGGGCTGGTCTCTCCCGACAACCTGTCCCAAGTACATGAGAAATGGTCTTGCCATCCTGGCCTCTCCCGAGCATTCTGGCTGTCCTTCTTCCAGGGTGGATCTGTCTGTCCTTTTGGCCGTCCGAGCAGAGTCATTCACATGCACCGGTCTACGTGGGTCCAGCTCCCACATGCCCGAGGCCATGGACAGTACCGGGGCTCGGGTCAGGTGCACTGAGTCCTCCAAGTGACTCCTTGCTTTTCAGTGCTCACACAGGTCTTGTGCAGCAGATTTATGGAACGCCAGGCGTCGTTTGGCCCCTTGACTGCTGTGTCTGTGATGGATGTTCACTTGGGGGTGCGCCCACTCAGATGTTCTCACATTCGACCACTGGTCTCTACGCCGCTGCCCTTTCAGAGTCGTCCTTGACAACTGCAGGTGGAGCACCTCACAACAGTGCTCCCCAGACGGGTAGAGATTAGAAGAGAGTGGAGATTAGAAATCCTGGAGAAAACATAATGCCATTCATTTGGGTCCTTGAGGCCATAGGTTCCCAGACTTACTCAGCAAAAAAAATCGCTCTGAACTCTGGTAATATCACTGCTCCTGATCCAGGTGAGAGAGTAGGTGTTTGCTCCTGCAGCCACCCCCCCTCCGGGGGCTGGTGGCGTGCCACTCATTCTGGAAAGGCTATTTTAGTTGTTTGTAAACCTCACTATAGTGTTAGAGTCACATTTGCCCATTCGAACCGCTACTAGGCCATCTCTGCATAAGGAAACACTCAGGCCGCGCAGCAGTGCACTTGTTTTAGTGGAAAACAGAGCTCCATTAATTGATATTGGCCAATGATAAATGACATTAAGTGATGTTCAAGAATATATTTTTGTGTGTGGTATTTTTAATGTTTCGTAAAAGTACTGTCTGTTTTGTAATGAAAAATACAGAGTAGTTTTTAAAATTACACAGAAGAAAACTCCCACAGTTTGTATTTTGGCATACCGTCTTCTAACCTTGTTTACATCGTTAGGCTCTTAATACAAACTTTTTGAAATCCTTTTGTTTAGTTCTCATTATTTGGTTTGTTTTTGTATAGCTCTTGTTTCTGGCTTTTCTCCTAAATCCTTTCAAAACTTTCTGCATTTAATTTCCTAGCTCGCGATTCATTTTATTTTCAACATCCTAATGTATGCCTTACTAGTGAAACTAGCCAAATCACTCAACAGATGTAAACGATTGTTAGCATCTCGAGTGCTGTTTTCCCAGACTTTTCCGGACCCTTTCCCACCCGGCCTCCTAGAACTGGAAGAGTCTCTTACACAGAAACCCACCTCCCCGCCATCCCATAGCAACCCTGCCGTCGGGGCCTGTGCGTTCCGAGTCTGTGACTGTTCCAGGGCGTGGAAACCTGGCCCTTCTCCTGTATGTCGTCAGTAGAATAGATTCTTAATCATGGCTCGTACACACCTAAGACAGAGCTTGACCTTGCTAAGATCCAAATAGGCCCAACTGCATTGTCTTAAAAATGATAGAAATCATGCATAGAGCAAGGCGAGGGTGAGGTGACTGTTAGCAGTGCATCTGTAGCTGAAACACCTCCATCAGATGCTGGTGCTTTTGACTGTGGTGGTATTGTATTGGATGAGAGTATCCGGCTGCAGGGTCCACCGCTGTGTGATTGCCCCTGTTCTGTCTGGTGTCTTAATCCGCAGGTTAGGTAGAATGGAATCCGATTGTCCTCACAGCGCTGGTTGAATTCTGTTGTGCTCAGCACTGTGGTTTTGTTGTGTAGAGTCTTGTCACCCTTTGTAAGGCTTCTGCCCGGTGGTGGTATTTCATCTGTGTGTAGATGGAAACAAATCTGAAGTGAAAGCCCCTGAAATTTTAATCTAATAAACACCTCCTTTCCAGTCCTGTGGGTTCGGTTATTTGAACCCACCTTTGCATAATGAAAATGACTGCCTTCGATTTTTTAAAATGCTCTTCTTTTTTAACCTTTATGAAACTGGAAGGATTAACTAATGCAAAAGCATGCCCCACTTGGGGCCCAGATGTTGTAAGAGGGCGATTGTACTGGTGAAAGGTTTCTTCATATGCTGATGTGTGTGCTTCCTGGGATGAGCCTGCCATCCTCTGTCCCTGACTGCCATTCGCTTCCTTTCTTTGGATGGGAGGTGGAGTCCCCAACAGTGGGAAGGGCTAGAATCCGAGGTTTAAAGAGGGGCCTCTCCCCAGTGGACAGTCTGTTTGGGAAAGGAGATTTGGCTGGGATGGTAAGTCTTGACAGTTATGTAGAACTGTCTCTTTTTTTCGTTTGTCCTTTTGATTGTGTTTCTGCTTTTGTTTTCCATTATGAATCGCATGAAGGTTAACACTAGGTGATTTCCAGCTCTACAACTTTTCTTTTTCCCCCTGTTCTGACTTCATTCTCAGTGAAGCTGTTTAAAGGAGGCTAGCCTGATTCCTGTGCGCTCCCACCAGATTGCAGGTGGCTTCCTTCCGCCTCCTGCAAGATTCAAGGGAGGATTCCCTTAGGACCACGGAGACCAGCCGGGAGATTCCCCTTCGCTTTGAGAACCTTACACTCTTGAGGCTAAGATTGTCTGCACTTCTCAAACTTCAAGCATGTCCTTGAGCTTCCTCCCAGAGCTTGGGATTCTTAGACGTGGGAGTGCCTCTGGGTGTGTTGCACTTAAGTTATGTGTCCTGTCACACGTCTTTCCAGATAAAGACGTGTGGTTTGGCAGGCTGGTCCTTGGGTGCCCATTTGGAGAAGAACACCTTTGAAAGAGGGGTGGGAGGATTTCTGCTGCAGGGGCAGCAGACTGACTGGGGGGTGGGCCTCTCTGGCCCCCACCCCATGGTGTATCTCGTGCAGAGTTGGGCAGCCTGGCAGGTCCCAGGCCCGAACTAGTTGATCACTGCACCCAGCCTTCCGGTTGGTGCGCTTCAAAATGCAGTCTCTTCGCAGCAGGGAGTGCCATGCGCTGGTTCTTTCCCTAGGAACACAGGCAGACCTACGGGAACACTCGGGAGCCACTCTTGGAAAACCTGACGAGCGAGTATGACTTGGATCTCTTCCGAAGAGCGCAAGCCCGGGCTTCCGAGGATTTGGTGAGTATTAAAACCTTCCAGCTGAGGCCCTGTGAGCAACACTTTGACCCACCAAGAGAGACACTTAGGAGTCCATTTGAGGGGCAGCAGTTGAGCCTAGCTGCCTGAATGCCCCTCCCCCCAGCAGTCGTTTGGTAGGCTGCCCTGCCCTTTCTTATTTAAAACTAGTCACCCTCCTCCCTTCTCTTACTCCTGACCACCTGAACTCCTGCAGGACCTGTTTGCTGTGTGCTGGTGAGGCCAGATGTCACCATAGGTGCTCCTTTGCCTCTGGTGGGGGGTTTGCAATTCTGACTGGGAAGAAACCCACCTCCGGGGTCCTCCTGACCCCAAGCGGAACTCCTCCTTTTCTGTGTGTGCGCCCAGCTCCCAGCCTTGCATGTATCCTAAAAGGATAGAGGAAGCCGGTCAGAGAGAGTGGGAAGGGCTGTTGTCAGAGAGTAAGAAGATTCCCCGGAGCTGAGTTCACTGCTCATTTCCCAGGCTCGATGTTTTCAGAGAAAACTTGTTCATAAGGTGCAGCTCACCTTTTCCCTTTGCTCATTTTCTCAGAGACTTTAGTGACTTCTTCAAGTACACGGGAACACTTGCAGGGAGGGTAGGCGGCAGCGGTGGCTGCTGGTTTTCCCTGCCCTTCTCAGGAACAGCATCCGGGCTGTGGAAATGATTTCTCTAGCTGGCTCCTAGCTACGGAGAGTGGACATGGAGTGCCCAGAATGCTTTCCCACACCCCTAGCATGGAGAGTCCTGAATTGGAACCTCACATTTCTTTTTTTTTTTTTTTAAGAGTAATTGTTTTTTTGTTTTTTTTAATTTAATCATTTTATTGGGGCTCATACAATTCATCACAATACATAGATCAATTGTGTAAAGCACATCTATACATTTGTTGCCCTCATCATTCCCAAAATTCGTTTTCCTCTTGGGTTGAAGCCTCACATTTCAAGGGCATTTGTTGATACGTGCAGGTGGCAGTGTGGCCACTGTGGATAAATATCACACACATACATGCGGCTTTCGTGAAGGCTGTGGATTACCCCCAAAATTCATTGTAAGGGTGGGGAGTTAGTATTGATGGTAGGTACATTTACAATTCAGTCTGGCGAGGCTGATAAAAATGAGGTTTTACCAAGGACTTGATTCTGATGTGAGAGAGATAAGGCTCAGAATGTGGTGGGAAGCAGAGAAACCACTCTGTGGAGATAGTGGCTCTGGGCCGTGTAAATAGTACGCTTTGCCTAAGCCCATGTTAGTGCAAGTTTCTCATGGGTAGGTGCCCAACGTGGTGTTTTCCTAGGCTCACAGAGTGTCACACACCAGAACCAAGTCAAAGCCTCTGCCCTCCATCCAGGCAATTCTGACCCTGTGCAGGGTTTCCAAGACAGCCTCCTCTTTCCCTAGCGCAGCTGGTGAGTGAACCTTGGGCTTGGCTTGGTGGTTAAACCCTCTGCCATCGAGTCAGTGCCAGCTCATAGCAGCCCTTTAGGGTGGGGTAGAACTGACTCTTGAGTTTCCGGTACTAGAACTGCTTAAGGGAGTAGAAAGCCCTCATGGAGCGGCTGGTGGTTCCAAACTGCTGATGGTATGTTAGCACCCCAAAGCATAACCACTATGCCAGCAGGCCTTCTGGTGGTTAGTCTCGTGCTTTTTCTAGAGGGTCACCAGGACTCCTGCGCGCGCACACACACGAAGCAAAACTCCCTGCCATCAAGTCAGATCAGGGTAGGACTGCCCCTGTGGGTTTCCGAGAGTGTAACTCCTGGCAGGAGTAGAAAGCCATGCCGTTCTCTTGTGGATCAGCTGGTGGTTGGAAACCACTAACCTTGTGGGTGGTAGCCCACAGAGCTGCCACCAGGGCTCCTGGAACACAGCGATGATACATTCATTGTACCTCTCCTCTCACTTCTGGCAATAGGAGAAGTTAAGGCTCCAGGGCCAAGTCACCGAGGGAAACAACATGATTAAAACCATCGCTTTTGGCCGCTATGAGCTTGACACCTGGTACCACTCTCCTTACCCTGAAGAATATGCCCGGCTGGGGCGTCTCTACATGTGCGAGTTCTGTTTAAAATACATGAAGAGCCAGACCATCCTGCGCCGACACATGGTAAGCCGTCTGTCTCTGGGGAGCGGGAGGATGCCAGCTCAGGAGCTGCCGCCCGCCCACCAGGCTCCTCGGGCCATGCTGGCATGGGGTGGAGGCCATACTTGGTGGCGGGGGAGGAGGGGGGAGGTGGAGGTGGTTGTATCCACCTGCGGTTTTTGTGGGTCCCAACCCAGATGAAAACAAACTTCATTTGACAGGGCCGGGCAGCATGGGGTGCCTGAGTAGCTCCCTGGCAGCTGGCCTGGGCGGCGCTGGTCCGGGGAGTGTGGTTGGCTGTGCTGGCGGTTGAGGAAGCGCACTTGGGAAGTTTCTACAGTTGACAGCACGGGCCTTTGGTGCCCGCAGCATCGGGGTGCAGCGTCTCCATCCCTCTGGTTTGTTTCCGCACGTCTTAGTAAAGCGGACGGATGGACAGTGTGTTCACTGGAGGCTGTGCAGCTCCCAGCCATCCTCTGTACCTTCTCCTCTGCCGTGGAGGGACAGGGAGAGGAGGGAGACTGACTGTGCTCTGAGTGCTGCGGGCGTGGGCATCTTCCCCGTCTGGTGGTGCTGCCCCCTCCCCACCCCATGTTCTCCATCTGGAGTACCCGGTGTGACGGCCTTGTGCCCGGGCCCAGCACACAACACTGTGGTAGGCAGACGATGGGCGGGCCTGGTGGAGATGCACCACGAGGACGGTGGCGACAGGGAGGACCGGCTCCTGGCGTAGACCGCGAGCTGGGGAGAGAGACGCTGCTTCTGTTGAGGTGGACAGCCTGCCATGCATGTCCTTTGGTTTCTCCTTGTCTGTGGATTCATTGACTCCGACCAGTGACATAGCCCGAAGGGTCTAATCCAGCGGTTCTCAACCTGTGGGTCTGGACCCCTTTGGGGGTCGCATGACCCTTTCACAGGGGTCGCCTAAAACCTTTGGAAAACACTTATATCCGATGGTCTTAGGAACCGAGACACTGCTCCTCCCTCCGTCTCCGCCCACGTGCAGATATGCCCACCTAGGAGTACCCGGCGTGAAGACTTTTGCCCAAGCTACACCATGCTTCAAGACAAAGTTTCATTGATTTTATTTTGCCTTATTAGAAGTAAATATTTCACAATGTATAATTGCAATTTGTTTCTGTGATTGACCACTATGCTTTCCTTATGTTCAATTTGTAACAATGAAAATACATCCTGCCTATCAGATATTTACATGACAATTCACAACAGTAGCAAAACTAGTTACGAAGTAGTAGTGAAAATAATGTGATGGTTGGGGGTCACCAGCACCTGAGGACCTGTATGAAAGGGTCACGGCGTGAGGAAGGCTGAGAACCCCTGCTCTACCTGACCCAAAGACTCGGTCAGCATTTGGAAAGTGTGAGGGTCTCTGTGTGTTGAGTCAGAGTTGGGACACTTGGGTTTCTGAACCTTCCGTCTTTCCCCCTGCCTGCTTTGGCTCCGTGGCGTTGGCTGTAGGCACTCCAGTGGAGTTTCTCTGGCTGCTCAACAAGTGATTGGCTCTAGCTTTGGTGATTGTTGAGTCGGGTGGAGGGGGGGGCCTTTCTCGAAGCAGCTCCAGTGTTCATGAGTATTTGGATTTACACCTAACAAATCAGCATGGATGGATCTTGAGTTGGCAAAAGCTGCGAGAAAATGTTTCTTAAGAACAGGCCAATAGCCATACCTATTTTAAGGGCTCTATGGGAATGGGTTTGTGTAAATGTTTGCAGAATTCAGCCAGTTACTGTAACACTCGGCCGGCTGCTATAACAGTCCGCATGCGAGGTTTCTGAGGTTGAGGAAGGGGCTGCCTTGTGGCACGTGCACTTCAGCTTTCTGCCGGTGCTGCCCGGTAGGCTCTGGCAGGCCGCTTTGATTGCTGTGGCACTGTAATAGTATTTTTCCTCTTTATGTAACCGAGAACACTTCTTGGGGAGGCGGGGAAGGAAACCGTTTTTATCATGATCCGTCCCTTTTCTAATCTGAAAAGAGGCCCTAATGGTGAGGTGGGAAGGAGAAGTTACTGGTAAAGGTAAGAAGGCAAGCACTTAGCAACTCTAAGCTGCTGGCGATTAGCTGCTTCTGAGCTTCCTGTTGGCGGGAGGCTGTTTCTAAGAAGTAAGGGCATTTTTATTTATCTGGCTTTCACGTGGTGGATGGTTTTAATCTCCTGGGCTGACACAACGCCAGAATATAATCCAGGAAATCTGTCCAAACAGCTGTGGGGAAAAAAATGCCTTGGGTATGAGGGGGCTTCCAAACGTTGTGGAAGCTGGAATTTCCAAATCGGGATTTTGGGTGGACTTCCTGATGCGCCCCCCCAATCTATCTACTACCTTGACTCAGAGCCAGTCTCCCTGTGCTTCCAACGCTGGCCCCTCTCCGCCTGGGAGCAGCAGACTCACTGGGAGGATTTCCTTCTCTTGCAGGCCAAGTGTGTCTGGAAACACCCACCCGGGGATGAGATCTATCGCAAAGGCTCCATTTCCGTGTTTGAAGTGGATGGCAAGAAAAACAAGGTAAAGAAAGAGGCATCAGAAAGGCGAGAAGGGGGCGTGGCTTGTGGAAGCAGGCGGTGCCGCTGTGGTTCATCGGTCTCCGGAGTGTGTTTTGTCTGCGTTGCACCTTGCCAAGCAGACACATAAAGCCCTTCTGTGGGACAGAACACACCACTTCTGTTTCGTTCACACTAATGGGGTGATATTTTGTTTTAGGCCTTTATCTGATAAGCTCAGAAATCACTGACCCACACATGAACTCTATTCTCTGCTTCCAGATCTACTGCCAAAACCTGTGCCTATTGGCCAAGCTCTTTCTGGACCACAAGACATTGTATTATGATGTGGAGCCCTTCCTGTTCTATGTGATGACAGACGCTGACAGCACTGGCTGTCACCTGATTGGCTATTTTTCCAAGGTCAGCAGGATCTGGAGATTAAGAAAGCGAATGGCCAGAGCTGGGTGGTTGGCACTGGCAAATGGGTGGATCAGTCGCTGGCAGGAAGAGGTGGCACCTTGGGCAGTGATGTCAGGAAGAGATTGGTGGGGGTGGAAAGAAAGAAAAACAAGCCCATGTATCAAAACTTGTTTAATGAAAATGGTTGCAGATCTTTATTAAAAGCTCTTATTTGTTTCTGAACTTGAGGGCTGGAACTGCCTGCTAATTACTGGTGAGAGCCCAGCCAGCTCCTAGCTGTCGGTGGAGCGAGACAGGAATTGGGTCTGGTGCTTTACCGAGGCTTCTGCTAGCCTAGACCTTTAAAGACTTAAGGCTAGACTGTGCTTCTCTTTGTTTTGAAATAATCTTGTTTTATAATTTATATGCTATTGTGATGTATTCGTTTAAGTGAGACAATCCACTGGTCTTTAACCTAGTCACAGAATTCTATGATGATAAACACAGTTACAGAACATGCTTAGGAGCCTGAAAGAGACCGCAAGCCCGTTGGTCCCCATCCCCTCGAGCCCCACCCCAGCCCAGCCCTGCTAACCACGAACTGTCTGTCTATAAATGGCCTGCTTTGTCCGTTTCCTGTCAATGAATCATACAGTGTGATCTTTTGTGACTGTGTTTGCATGGGATGAAGGCTGGGAGAGCTTGCCCCCCTGCTTTTCCTCCAAGGCGGGCTGCTGCCCCCTCACTCGGTAGTCTTCACGTCCTTGCCCTGCTCTGTGACTGGAGGCCCAGGGCTATCCCCTCCAAATGAAATTGGGTTGGGGGCTCCGAGATGAGTGGTTTTGGCCACCAGCGAGGCCGTGGGGCCTGGCAGCCACCCCCCAGGACTGGATAGCTAGCTCTTTGGCAATTAGCTTGTTTTTTTTGTATCTGTGGAAGTGCGGACACCTTCTGACCTGCTCATCTGTTTGCTCTTGATTTTAGGAAAAGAATTCGTTTCTCAACTATAATGTGTCTTGTATCCTTACCATGCCTCAGTACATGAGACAGGGCTATGGCAAGATGCTCATTGATTTCAGTAAGTGAACCGCTAAGTCCTTCCACAGGGCAGGGGCTATGTGAATATTGTCTTTTTGTGCCGAGGTCTCCCATCCCCGGCCTCTAGTGAAGTGCGCTGGTATTTATTTCACTGACAAGCGGGGAAAGGCTACATGTCACCGATCTGCCTGATACACATTGTGCATCAGGTGGGACCCTCACTTTGGTACCACTGCCATCAAATTGATGGTGATGCATAGGGACCGCGCCACCTGGAGTTTCCAAGGCTGTGGTCTGGACAGAAACCGTGCCTTGTCTTACCCCCCTCGAGTGGCGGGTGGGTCCCAGGGCTGGGTGCCACCAGCGCTCCTTTGGGAGGTACAGAGAATGGTAGTCACAGATTGAGGGCGGTCCCCGCCTGCTGCTTTCTGCAAGGACATGCACGCACACACACCACTGCAGACCTGTTGCCGAGAGTTGGGGTTTCACTCCCGTAGAGGCGATCCTTAGACCTCGGCAGAGTAAATAGGACCCAGTGTTTGCCATGGGGTGGCATTGTTTAGTTGAACGTGGGATTCCTCTAGTTGGTCGAGGCGTGCCCTCATTTTTAAGCCACTTTCAAAGAGCTGTATCAAGAGGGGGCAAGATCCAATGACATATGGGGGGGTGGGGTATACCTTTAAATTGGTAACATACCCTTAAGACCCTGCTTTTGTGGAATTTTCAAGACTGTACAGAGGTAAATCATCATCCTCTTCCTTCGGCAGTTGCCATTTTATTGCCAATCTTGTCTGACCTGTGTCCCCGCACTGTTACTTTGGTGTCATGTAAGCGACACGGTGAGCTGTGTGTCACGCCCTGCCCTCCTCCGGCCCTGTGCCCCAGGGGAAAGCGAGTCCTTAGTACCACACAGTACTCTGGTGTCCCCTTCGTGCTGTGCATTTTACAGTTGACTTTTAAATCAGATATGGGTAGGTTGGATCGAATTGGTTTGGTTTGTGGCTCACAGTTTTCATCTAAAAATTACCACTCTTTTTTCATGTGCTGTTTATTGAAGAAAGTGGGTATAGTCTTACCTGCTTCTCACTTACAAACATGGTTTAATTCCAAAGACCCAGTCCTTGTGCACAAACTGACTGGCATTGCGTGGACATGGAGGATGACCACATCCAAGCACAGAGTGAAGGCTCGCTACATGACTGCCAACCCCTGGAAATCGGGGAGCCTGCCAGCCAGCCCACAGTGCTCTGACCTGAGTCCTGGGCTTTCCTTTTGCCAGATGTATGTCATCCAGGTGTAAAATAATCAGATAGTTGGTTCTTTACCATCTGAGATAGTAAAACAGTAGATATCTTACGATTACAAATGCAAAATAGTGAATGAAAAGAGTTGATGGGTGAGGCGTAGATAGAGGCGTGGGCCCTGTAGTGCACCCAGAGTATGGGTTTTGCTGAGTCCATCCTCCCAACTAGTCGATCAGATTGAATGTTGCATGTCGAGATGCTAAATTTCGAGGCATTACGCGAGTTGGGTTTACACACATGCAACCCCCACCCCACCTTCCACTTCGTAAGTGGTGCCAAAATATGTGTCAAAGATCAAAAATTGAAAACGAGAGACAAGGGTGTCTGATGACAATGGGAGGCTTTCTACCTCTGTCCCAGCACACACACAGAGGGGACCTCGCTGCCATCAGAGTTTTCGGAGAAGCCCTCCAGAGTGTGATGCCCGCAGAAAGCAAATGCCAATCCCTGTCCTTCTGCTTATGTTGCTGCGGAGGCAGCACGTGCTACTGATAGACGGCACCTCGTGGAGTAGCTGGGTGGAAGCCACCCCCAGGGCGTGGTGCGATGGTCTTGCCCTGAGGAAGTAGAAGTGTTGCCAGAAAAAAGGCTGTGTGTGTTTTTCCTGGCAGGTTATTTGCTTTCCAAAGTGGAAGAAAAAGTTGGCTCCCCAGAACGCCCCCTCTCAGATCTGGGGCTCATAAGCTACCGCAGTTATTGGAAAGAAGTGCTGCTCCGGTACCTGCACAATTTCCAAGGCAAAGAGATTTCTATCAAAGGTTGGTCCGTGACGCTTTGATGGGGTGTTGCCAAAGTGTTCGTTCCCCTAGATGTTTCTGACTTCCACTCCTGTGTGTGTTATTTAACCTGCTGCAGGGCCCGTCCCATTGTGCTTCATCTGGGTGGGAGAAGGGAAGGTCCCCCTGAATGTGGGCCACTCAAAAGACCCCTCACACACACACACACACACACTAAAAAGTCTAATTTTTTGGCCCGTGCAAGAGCTTCTAAGACCAGCCTCCACCTGTGTTCTGATGGAAGAGACAAAGTTGGGGTTTTTTGTTTTTTAACTTATGGGGGGTGGGCGGCTCTTACAAATCTTACCACAATCCATCATTCATTTGTATTAAGCACACTTGTACATAGGTTGCCATCAGCATTTCCAAATTGGGTTCTCTTTTGACCTTGATTTCGAAGGTATGGGCTGTGGTTTCTTGTAGTAGGATCTGCAGGGTGGTTTTAAAAAGTCAGAGGCGGGCTTGCAAAGCCACGCTGGCCTTGCCTGTTGGCGCCCCGCCACTAGAAGCCCACTTGGGAGTTCTCAAAGGGCAAGGAAGCCACTGCCAGGAGGCTGTGTTCCCCTGAGCCCGATTCTCCGCAGCTCTGTCTGTTGGTTCCAGAAATCAGCCAGGAGACAGCGGTGAACCCTGTGGACATTGTCAGCACTCTGCAAGCCCTCCAGATGCTCAAGTACTGGAAAGGAAAGCACCTCGTTTTAAAGAGACAGGTGAGACATGCTGCACGTCCCAGGCCTAGCTGAGCAACACCCCCGCAAATACCTCTCCTCTTCAAGGGGAAGGCCGGTGAGGGCCTTAGGCTAGTGGCTTGGTTTGGCCGAGGTGCCTGTGTTGCCTTTGTTCAGCTTATCTTCCACCTTGTCTTACCAGAAGCTTTTGATAAGCTCCTGCCTCAGATGTGGGTGACCCCAGGTCACACAGCTCCAGGTAAGCAACTGGATGCTGCGCCCAGTGGGTTTCCTCGGTTAGAGGAGCAGCTTTCCCGCTGAGGGAGTGTCACCCCTTCCACACTCCTTGAGGGTGCCGGCCGCCGCCGCACACCCTCTTTTTGCATGCCCGAGCTGATTCTGGTATGATACAGAACATTCCCCCCTCTCGTGGGGGAGCGGGGCAGGGCGGAAGAAATGGATTTGGTAGGAAAGTGTTCTGTAAATCACAAGCCCCCCTCCTTGTGGGGGGGGTTGGTCCCTCCTGGGTGGGTCCCTCCCTCTGGGCCAGCAGGCGCTCTGGGGAAGGCGTGTCTGGCGGTGTGTGTCATGTGCTCCTGTCTCCTGTCCCCCCAGGACCTGATTGATGAGTGGATAGCCAAGGAGGCCAAAAGATCCAACTCCAACAAGACCATGGACCCGAGCTGTTTAAAATGGACCCCGCCCAAGGGCACTTAAAAGTGTCTGTCGCTCCGAGCCAGCGAACCCAGCAGTAGGAATCCGCCCCCTAGGGATCTGTCTGTCATTTCTGTTGCTCTTGTGGTGGGCACGTGCAGTATCCTTGGGGAAGGCCACCCCTCAGGACTGTCCTGGCTCCGACCTTCGTGCACACTGCAGACGCTGGTTCTCAGGAACTGTTGTTTCGGCCTCAGTGAGGTTCCTGGATGGGCTCTGCGTGAGACGCGCGTGCAGGCCCCCATAGCACTGACCCAGGAGTTCTGTATGGTACTGTACCTGTCCAGTCACTGGTTCTCCTCACGTCCTCGCGCCCCATGAGGTTGTGTTGTGTCTTCTAAACTGTCTGTCATTGTGCTTCTTGCCGCCCGGTCACCAGGCCTCCAGGTACGGTCGCCACCACTGGGGCCTTTCCAGTGACTCCTCACGCCTCTCTTCTGTGGAGGACGGGGAAGGAGGGGGCAACGCTTCTCAGCGCGTGTCCTGGGAGGGAGCTCCATTCGTTTTGGGGTTCATTTGGTTTTCAGTTTATGTCCCTGTTTTTAAACCCCTCTGGGTTTAGAAAGGCCCGCTTGAACGGGTGCCAGGCTGACCAAGCTCCGAGTGCTTTCTGAAGTGCTTCCCAGGGATTCTCCTTGGACACGGACAGCCCGGCAGCCCCTGGAGGAGAGAGAAGACTGGAGGCCGCCCATGGGCAGTGCAGGGTGGCTCTCCACGCCGGTTCGCCTCGCCAGGAAGAACCAGCCGGACCTGGCCGCCTCCCCTTCACTCCTGCCCCTTTTAGATGCCGGAACCATTGCCAACTGCTCCCGTTTCACATGAGCTGGTCCATTATGCCGCAGGTGCCCTCCTGGTTGGTACCAGGGTGGGCTCTCGCCAGTATGTCCTAATCCGTTGCATTGATTTTTGTGTCCCGACCTCCTCCAAGAACTAGAAAATCATGTCCACATCTCGGCCCCTGACTCCGCGAGGCAGAGCCGCCACCCTGCCAAGGACCACATCTCCCACAGTGCCTCGCCCGCTTGCTCGATCACTCACTCTCCTCGAAAGCCTCCATTCCCCGTCGCCCCCGCGCCCTGGTAGACATGCTCCTCCCGGCTCCCCAGCCCGCTGTAACCTGCTGTCTCCACAGCTTTTGATGTATGACGTCACCCTCCCCAACCTGGTCTCCAGCCACACTGCTGTCATCCTGGGGGGGCCTCGCCACAGCCCAGTCATTGGTGCCTTTCTCTCGTCATCTCTGTACACTACGTGATGCTCACTGTGGGGTTTGGGGCGCTAACTGTAAGCATGTTCCGTGGCAGCTCCCCTCCAGATTCAGATTCACTGTCAACATTTGTGCAAAAGCCACTTCACTCTAGGGGATGTCTAGGGGTAAAGGCCTTTGACAGGAGCGGAGTTCTGTCTTGCCCACATGTGGTAGAATGTGCTGTTCTATATCGACTTCTCAATAAAGCATGTTCTCTGCTCAAGGCTGTTGCGCCCAGGGCCTTTGATTTCCCCGTGGAAGGACTGCCGCTGGTAGGAAATGCCTTTTGGACTTGATTTTCCTCGCAGGAAGCTAGCCGCTGAAGGCTGTGGTTTGCGGCTGTGGAAATGTCCCCTCTCTCAGTCATGCAGGCGACCCGGAGAGGGTGGGAGTGTTGCTCACCTTCCCGGTGCCGCATGAACTCACTCCGACCCCCCCACCCCCAGCCACTTAAGAATGCGTGGCCATGACTAGTGGTCGGTGTCTTCCACTGGTTTTAGGGAAGGAAGCAGTACTTGCGAAGACTCTTCGTCTCCCGGTTGAGGTGACCACTGTTCAGAAGGTAGTTGGGTTTTTCTGCAGGTGTTCCCTGGTGCCAGGAAAGGTTGAGGGGAGCCGGGTGGGTACCTGCTGCGATGGGTTGGTTTTGGTGTGAAGTGGCCAGTCCCGTGGCAACCTGCCCGACGAGATGCAGGAAGCCCTGGTGTGTCCGTTTTTGCGGGCAGGGAGGACCCTGAGGTGACGGAGCCCTCGCACATCTGTCACGTCATGCATGCATACCTCACTGCCCTAGGTATTTCTTCCAGGGAAACCCAGCCCTTCCCAGTTGTTCAGAGATCCAAGGTATGGGGGATGGGATGCTGAGACAAGAGGCGCGGCCCTGATAGGCCCTTGCCATCCCTGCTCTCCACCCTTTTCCTCACCTGGAAATAAGAGGACGGTGTGTCTGCTGTGAACCCCGGACATGTGTGGAGCCAGTGCACCCTGCCTTGGCTGTCCACCTCCCTTTGGCTCCTTTTACCTGCAGAAAAGGAGCTCAGCTGCCTGAGCTGCTTCAAATAGGAGCCAAGTCTGGAGTTGGTACCTGGGTCTCACTCCTGAAACCTACTGACAGGAAACACTCCTGCAGGGAGAACGGGCCTGGCACGCGCTGGCTGCTGCTCTCCTTGCCACGGCCCCGTTGGCCTGTGGAATAGACGGCCCCCTTGGTTTTGCTGAAGAGCACCCAGCGCCCCAGCCAAGGTGGAGCCACAGTCAGATCTGGCTTGTAACATGAGACTCCCTTCAACTGTTTGCTTCTCCCCTTTTATGACTTTTCGTCCTTAACCACGAGCACTTCCGAGGCAAGGACACTAATGAAGCCAATGGAAACGTAAAAGACCAAAGCGATGATTTTAGTACCTTGGGGGCCAGAGGGCCAAAGACAAGGCTCGGGCTGGCTCTGCTTCCTAATTAGAGAAATGAACCGTATGGAACCGAGCGGTCCTGTCCCTACATGTGGTTTCCCCCAGTCAGCACCACGCTAGCACCATGCCCTCGCCTGCAGCCGCCTTGGAGCTTTCCAGAAGCAGAAAGCCACGCTCCGACGCATGTCCTGCAGGGCTAAGGACCTTGTCTAGTCGGTTGTGCCTTTGCACGTTTGCGATCTGCTGACCAAGAGGTGTGCACTTGAGCCCCGCCCACCATACAAGGCAAGGCCTGGCAATTTGCTTCTGCAGACAGCAGTTGGTAGCCTGTGGGCTGCCCCTGTAGGACAACGATGCTGTGCTCTGTCGGGGACCAAAGGAGCCCTTGATGCAGTAGGTACGTGCTGGGCTGCTACCGGGGAAGGTAGAGGCTTACATTCGGCAATGAGGCAGACTGCAGCAAAGGCTTGAACCCTCAGAAACCCTTGCCTTCCTCACCATCAGAGACCCTTATAGAGCAGCGGTTCTCAACTTGTGGGTCGCGACCCCTTTGGGGATCAAATGACCCATTCACAGGGGTCGCCTGATAATAGCAAAATTACAGTTAAGAAGTAGCAACAAAAGTCATTTTATGGTTGGGAGGGTCACCACCACAGGAACTGTATGAAAGGGTCGCAGCCTTAGGAAGGTTGAGAACCACTGCTATAGAGGAGGGGAGTAGAAGCCGATGCCTGCCTGGTGAGTCTCATGCCCAGCCCCAATGCCTTGTCATTAGAGGTTTGTGTGTTGCTGTGATGCCAAACAGATTTGAGCAGAGTTGCTGTACAGAATAGGAAGAAAGTCCCGGAATACCGGGAATCAGCAATGGAAACTGGCTCACAAGGGAGCCTCTGCAGCTGATGATGGGGGTGTCGTGGGACTAGAAGGTGGGGTGATGGACCAAGTGTTAGACCTCATGTCAGCTAGCCACAGACTCTTTAGAGGCCAAGGTACTTCTCAGTGAATCTCAGCTTCACTGTAACGTCTGGGGTTAGGTATCATTGGTCTTGAAGGGGTGGTCAAGTTCAAGGCTGGAGCTATGTGTGAAGTAGATCACACTTCCCTCTGGAACATGAAAAGCAGGTTTTTTGCTTGATAGTTGTTTTTCAGCTATGAGGACGCTTCGGGGATTCTATTTTAGTTCCTTTTTTCCAGCGTTCCTTGAAGCCACCTCAGGGACTTCCAGGGTCATCCTCGTAGCCGATCCTTGCGTCAGTCAGGTGGCATTGCTGGGCCACCGTCTGAGGAGATGCCATGCTACAGGCTGATGGCGATCAAAGCCTTGGGTGCTTGCTTTCTGCACACACGTTTATTCAGGAGACGGCCCTCTAAGTCCTTCCCCGACATGGGTTAAGAAAACTAGTTTGGGAAGAAACCCCGTGGGGACGCAGGAAGCTGGTGGTCTGCCCACCCTCCCTCCTACCCCAGGGCGTGTATTAGCTGCTTTGGTCTGAGTTTACGCTCCTTGCTAATAACTGGTCCCATGGAAGGACGTGAGGTGCCAGCTCGTTGGTTCTCGGCTTTGTTTCCCCTGGCCCTCACACAGCAGGCAGGCGTGCATCACTTTATGAGGAATTGTGACGGTGACTTCGCTAAAAATCAATCAATCGAGGGTGTGTGCTGGGGACTAGAAAGCCTGGCCTGGTCGCTGGGACCTCCACTGCCCCTGTCCCAGCGCCTGCTGCCTCCTGCAGCTGTCCGGATGATGTCATCACCACCTCTCTGACAAATGACCGATGAATGTCACTGAGAAGGGCACCAAGTGCCTGGTGATGAAATGTCCCCGATGCCGAAGCTGGTCTGCCTCTCCCTCTTGGTAGTGCGGCGCCCTCAGCAGGCCTTTAGGAGTGCTGCCACCATGGTGGGGTTTGGGCCTTGGTTGGTGGTACCTGCAGCAGAGCAAAGAACCAATGCGGTTACGAAACTTTGACCCCCGTTACCCCCAAGTGTTCCTCGACACACCGGTAGTCGTGATAAGCCGTGTTCATTCCCGGAAGCCGGTCTTTGCTCTGTACTGGGTCTTTGTTTCTGGAAACAGCTTGCCTGATGTTTACTTTCAGAGTTACTGGAGGGAGGCTTGCGTGATGGACAGGTGCGATGGATGGCCACCAGCCGTCGCCCCCTTCCCCATAGTGGCATGCCCCCCCTTCCAATAGGAGGCCTATCTTTTCCTCCCCCTGACTGTGGGCTGGCCCTGTGGCTTGGTTTGGCAGAAGTGAGCCTTTGGTCACTGCCGCTGTCACTCCTTTGGAAACAGGTGCCGGGGAAGGATGAGCAGCCCCTGTGTACGCGAGCCGAGCTGCTCGACTGGTGGCGCCAAACACCTGCAGTTGTGCACCCCTCGTGGGTGCCAGCCAAACTCCCAGCTGAGCGTAGGCTCGTGAGCGCCCCCACTCCCCACCCCACACCCCACGAACTGAGGAACCCTTCAGCCAAACCAGAGTCTTGGGAGAAATTACTCTTGTGAAGCCATTCTATTGGGGGGTGATTTCCCACACACAACCATGAAACGAGGGGGCCTGGGATTCAGTTTGGCCCAGTAGGTCTCACTGGCTGGTGTCACTCGGTGGCCGGAGGGGTGCCACGCGCTGTTGTGCATCTCAGGGCATGCCAGGTTCTGTTCCACGTCAGGGCTCCGAGTTAGCCGCTGCTGCACCTCCCGTGGGCAGCCAGGCGTCTGGCATTACCGCCTCCTGAAGGATGAAGTGGAGAATGCCCTCTGGCTGGCTGGCATTGCCCCCCACTTGGCTGCGCAAGACCTGCCTCTCGGGGCCTCCACGCCCTCCCACAAGCTGTCCCGGTCTGCATGGATCTCAGCCACCCTCTTCCTGCACAGCGTCAGTTTGTCCTGGGTTTCCTCTGCCGCCTGGTGTCCTGTGTTTACTGAAAATGATCTCTACTTGCTCCCCGAAGTGCCTTAGAATAGGATGGTCAAGGCGTGCACTGCGGGGGGACATCGGGGCCCAGTCATTGAGTCATTCTGACACGGCCATCCCGCTGTGCTCAGAGTTTTCAGGGACTGGTCGTCAGCAGTGGCCTTTCTTCCACAGTGCCTCGGAGCAGCTCTACACCACCTTTTTGTCAGTGGCCACACACACGAGTAGTCACTGCCCTGGTCGTGGGCACTGGAACACCGAAGCAACTCCCAGAGGGAGGGCGGGTGGGGTTAAATGCTGGCCACCCCACCCACCCACCCAGCTTCTAACAGGACACTCTCCCCACAACTCCACTGGAAGTTGGTTCTGACCCAAGTTGAATCCGTCATCTTTGTCCTTTCTGTTTTAGAACACAATCACCGAGTTGTGAGCAGTAGAGGGTCATGACATTGAACGTCAACGCATGGCTCACTGCAGCATTGTAGGGCATACATACAAGGGCAGGCCGACACGCACTGCTACAGCAAGAAGCCTCACTGAACACAGTCACACGGGGAAGGGATTGCTTCCCATGCCAACCCCCATCTGGAGCTGCGCGCTTGGAAGCAATGTTTCCAATTCAACTCCTCCCTGAATCCTGTGCGCTTCCAGTTACACCCCTGCAGGAAGGAAGGAAGAGAACACCATGCTCACTGCCTTTGGGGCAACTCCGACAGCGTAAAACAACAGTGGACAAGCTGGGTGGGGTCCTAGAACTGTTGACGGGAGTGGGAAGCCTCTGCCCCACAGAGTGGCTAGTGGTTCCAGACCGTTTGGGGCGTCCTAGAGCGACTCCGATCACAAGCTTTAGGAGCCATGTCCACAGTGGCTGCGCTCCACAGGTGGAGGGTGGATGGCTAAGG